TTCTTTTGTATTTGTATTTCTGTGAAATTTACTTTTCAAATAGGCATTAATAACAGTTGTATTTTATTTTTTTGGAGTTTGAATTTGCAACCTTAAATATAGGGCAAAAACACAATATATTTTGCAACCCTTGCTTACACTGAGTAGTAATTATTCAAATAAGCCTGTGCTGAATACTTATGTACATAAATATTCACATGTAACTCAGTTTGTAGTTTCGTGATAAAGCAACAGAAGCTCCATCAGAAAAAACAGGGTAAGGAGTTCTCCTTTTGTTCTTCCTTCTGTCTGCACTGTTTCTGCTCTCTACCCAGAGCAGCTCATGTTGCCTGTTCACTTACCCCACTGCAGCCATTTGCAAGGACACAGTATGACCTTGATCAGCAAACTTATCTGAATTAATTTAAATGAAGGAGGAAAAAATATTCTGAAAGACTTACATATTTGAGTCAGAATTACAAGGCACCACCTGTGTATTTAAAATCGACATTTTGATACTTTTAAAAATTGAATTAGTGAATAATGTATAATTTTTATTAATGTACTGCCCTAGAATATAAGTTTTCAATGTTAAATATACAGATCTGGAATTGCTACTGGTTTGAATTGATGTGTCCCAAATCTGAAAAAAGGTATTGTGCAGGATGCATAAAACCCAAGTCAGAAAGCTGAGGATGTTGATTTGTTAGAATGGGCATCTTGAATGCTCATCAGCTTAGCATTAAGACTTTGCACTAAAGGACCCAAATTCCTGGGGAAATGTTAGTATTACTAACGAGCTGTTGAAATTCAGAAAACAGTTACACCTTAATTTTATTTTTGTTTTGAGCCACAAACAAACGTTTCCTGTTGGTGTTTGGTTTATGGCTGTTGTGGTGTGTGTTTTTCAGAGTGCCTTTTTTCTTGTGAACTCCTCCATGACTATGTGTGATACAAAGCTTTGTGCCATAAAAAGTGACAATACCTTATTATATTTGGGTCAGAGAAGCCCTGGTCAGATTGGGATGCACTTTCTCTTTTCTATTTACCAGAACTTCCACTGGGACTTTCATACATTTATTGAACTGTTCGAATGTTGCAGGTGCTTACCATCCAACCAGCTTACGGTGACTAATTGTTTCAATAAACAAACACAATCCAGGAGCTGGGAGTGGGAACCAGAAGATATATGGGTAATGTTGAAACACCTGAGCTTACCACATCACTTAGTGCCTCAATTTTCCCTAGTGAAAACTGGGAAAGCTGACATGCATAAGAAGCTCTGTGTACAAATGAAAATGTACTTTGTGCACCTTGACCAATATTGACCTATCAGATTTATCTGAACAGTTGTTTTCATTTGTTTTAAGAGAGGTGTGTGGTGACTTCGTGGCTCTATAGGTGAATATTTGTATAATGTGAAGATAGTGCAAGTTGATGCATGTATTTCGATACTTAAAGTTGAGAATGTTTTCCCACCCTAAAAAAAAGCTGAGAATCTGTAACTCTTTCTGATTTCAGTCATAATTCTGAGTCTTCAACATCTCTGCAAATTAGATCATGTTTGTTATCATGTTGCTAAGGTTGGCAGGGAACAGGGCAAGTTCTTGGCAGAAGTCATACTGTTAAAAGTTTATATGGGTGTCAGCATGAAATTCCCACAGCTGTTTATAACAAGATAACAATGTGTCACGCAAACAGCTTCATGTTCTGAGGGATGTCTGGGAACAATGGAGTGTTTGGGGAGGAAGTGTGCAGAAAATGTCTAAAGCTGTATTGAAGAAAAGCAGTGACATATGGATTTGATAAGTGGCAAGGGTGACTGTTACAGGGGCTTCTTAATGGAGTATTGGAATTTTGGAAAAGAACTTCCAGAATAATGAGTGGGGGTGCAGTTGTCCTGAGCCTTATTTATTGAAACAGAAATGTGTCTGGAGCCACTGACTTGGAAATAACCTCAAACAAAACAGCTTTCTGCGACCAAATGCAGATTCAAAGGCTGATCTTGTGACCTAGGAAACTGGTTCTAATCTGCTGAGATCTCCATAGCAGGGCTAATTCAGTGTAGCAACCTGGTACAGACACTGACCAATTACATTGTTGGTATTTTTATTTTTTAACCCCAGTTTTGTCAAAAGGAATTTTTTTCTCTTGTGTAATGTTAATGTGACCAAAGAGGGCTGATGGGAAATAAAATATTTTAGCATTATCAGTATTGAGAAATCATAGTTAATTTTGCATCCCTCTTGCGCTCTCCAGTGCAGCAGTCTAGGGATCTCTGAGATCACAGTTTCTAAGATGAATAATAATTATTTTTTCCTAAAGTGCCAATCGAGAATTTTTACTATGGAGAAGAGAATAATTGTTTTGAGTAGGAGAGCCTGTGATGGGAACCCTTAAAGTTTTGTGTGCATTAAGCTAGTGTGAAAGTTAATACTGACTTTTAATTTTTTGAACAGTGTTTGTATTTTCAGTTTGTGGTAGTATTCTTCCTTCCACAATTACCTTTAAGATTGCCAATTTATTTTTAGAAGGGCAATAAATCAGAATTGGACCGCTTTAGTAGTTACAGAATATATTCAAGACGATTACTATTAAAAAAGATCTTGCCTTCTTCCCAGCAATATGATGTGACCAACAAAATGTATGTGTGTATACATATCAAAAGAAGAGAAATAACAAAGAGATTATTGATAGCAGTCACAATTTCCATTCCAATTATAGTCTTTTACTTATGCATCCTAACCTGGTCTTATTTTATGGTTCCATGTAAACTGCAGAGTAATTTTTTTTAGCGTATGCAGAGATATTCATTGAAAAGAAAAGGATATTTTAAAGCAGGGAACAACTACATCCAGCTGTTGAAATGGCAGGAGTATGGGATATGAGAGCTTAGCCAGGTGGTGCCATGGGCAGGGCTGGCAGAAAGTGAAAAAAAGGGAAAGGGAGAAAAGGATTTCTGGAACAGCTTTTCCACAGGCTCTCCCACACCTTTCATTCCTACCTCTGTGCCACCTCATTTGATGAGTCCATGCAGGCAGCTGTCTGTGCTGCATGATGAAATGTCTGGTTGGATCCCTTCCCTAGCTTGCTTCCCAGCCCAGTGGGAGGAATGCTTGCACCAGCACAAGGCAGGGTGGCACAACAGGGCGGCGGTGAGCAGGTGAGGGAGAAGGTTGGCTGTGTCTAAGCTGGCATCATTGCAAAGAACAGAGAGATTGCCTGACAATGTCTCTGGCAGGACCCTGTAGCCAGATTTGCAAACAAAGTAACTGTGGGTGAGATTTTTTTTTTGTACTCCTACGTCTGTGCTACAGGTATCAGCCATGCTGTAGAACTTCAAAGCATCTTGACGTTACTGAGGCGACCAAAACTATCAGAAGTAAATTACTTGATTTTGATGGTCAGCATGAAGTCTTTCTAAACAGAAGATGAAGGGCATATCCTTAACATTTTTTGAAAAATAAACTTTTGTTCTTTGTTTTTAAATTGACGGCTTCTAAACTACCATTTGTGTCTGAAAATTTTCTTTAATAATTGGAGTGAGTTTTCAAAATTACTGTACTGATGCATCTCGGGCTCAAAGGCTTATAGTAAATGGGGTTATGTCAGGCTGGTGACCAGTCACTAGTGGAGTTCTCCAGGGCTTCATCTTAGGCCTAGTGCTCTTCAACATCTTCATAAATGACTTGGATGCAGAACTGGAAAGTATACTAAGAATGTTTGCCAATGATGCTAAATTGGGAGGAGCTGTTGAAGGCAGAGAGGCCCTGCAGAGATACCTTGACAAATGAGAGGACAGGGCAATCGCCCCTGTATGAAGTTTTAACAAAGACAAGTGCCAGATTCTGCACCTGGGATGGGGCAACCCTGCATGTACATACAGGCTGGGGAATGAGAGGCTGGAAAGCAGCATTGTGGAAAGGGACCTGGGGGTCCTGGTCGATGGCAAGTTTAACATTAGTCAGCAGTGCCCTGGCAGTCAGGAGGGCCAACCCTGTCCTGGGGGGCATCAGGCAAAGCATCACCAGCTGGTCGAGGGAGGGGATTGTCCCGCTCTGCTCTGCACTGGGGTGGCCTCACCTTGAACATTGTGTGCAGTTTTGGGCTCCACAATATAAGAAAGATATTAAGCTGTTAGAGAGCATCCAAAGGAGGGCAATAAAGACAGTGAAGGGCCTTGAGGGGAAACCATATGAGGAGTGGCTGAGGTCACTTGGTCTGTTCAGCCTGGAGGAGACTGATGGGACTCCTCATTGCAGTCACAGCTTCCTTATGAGCAGAAGAGGAGGGACATGCACTGATCTCTTCTCTGTGGTGACCAGTGACTGAACCCAAGGGAATGGTCTGAAGTTGTGTTGGGGGAGGTTTAGGTTGGGTATTAGAAAGAGGTTCTTCACCCCAAGGGTGATTGGGTATTGGAACAGGCTCCCCAGGGAAGTGGTCACAGCAGCAAACCTGTCTGAGTTCCAGAAGTGTTTGGATAATACTCTCAGGCACATGGTATCATCTTGAGGCTGTCCTGTGCAGGGCCAGAAGCTTGACTTTGATGATCCTTGTGGGTCTCTTCTAGCTCAGGATATTCTATGATCTTCAATTTTATATATAGAACTCTTTTGGAAATGGCATGTATACATACACAGACCTTAGCAATTATAACTTGTATGCAGGTTAGGACTTTGTGGTAAAGAGCACAGAGGTATGCTCCTGTTTACCTGAAGCACATTTCAGACTTCTCACCCATATTTTCTGTGACATAGGCTGCAGTGTACCTTATTTCATCCCAGTCACGTACAGCTTTTGGCTTCCTGGGAATGCGCAAGTTCAGACCTCAGCTGAGCAAAGCCTGAACTTTTTTGTCTAATAATTAACTTCTGTAAACTTCCAGATGCTGACAATGAGCTCCAGCTTTCTGTATATTCAGGCAGTTTCATTTACAAGTAGAAGCTCTTTTTACTACAGAAATCTCCAGCTCTGTGATCCTCCAGAGATGTAATGATTTATTCCTCTCGTCTTCACAGGAATTGATGTTCAATGGCTAGAAAGAGAGCTGACAAGGGGCTGAAATGAATATGACTACTATCCTACAAGAGATTTTGATTAAAAGATCACAGCAGAAGAAGAGGACTTCCCCCTTAAACTACAAAGAGAGGCTTTTTGTACTTACGAAGTCTATGCTAACATATTATGAAGGTCGAGCAGAGGTAGGAGGCACAGATTTATACTACCAAGTACCTTTGTTCCTTTTTACTTTTTTATAATATTTGCTTTTTTCCTACTATATGTCATACTGTCATGAGCAGATGGGGGAAATGGTCATTGGCAGGAAGGAATGTGAGCTGCCATTTCTCTTATTTACAACGTAGAGTACCTTTGTTCCTTTTTGCTTTTGTATAATATTTGCTTTTTTCCTACTATATATCATACTGTCATGAGCAGATGGGGGAAATGGTCATTGGCAGGAAGGAACGTGAGCTGCCATTTCTCTTATTTACAATGCAGGTTGACAGAGGTGTAGATAACTTATCTGGTAGTCAATTTGAACCGGTTCTCAGAGCTGTAGTACATTGCCTGGATGGCAGAAATAACAGAAAACAGCATTTATAGCTGGTCATCAAGGCTGATTTCTTTCTCCAGAGAGATGAAAAATCACTGCTTTCACAAAGTGGGAAAGAGATGGAAAAACTTAAAAATCATAGTTGCTTGTGGCTGTGTTTACTGTGAAGGCAATTACTTTAACATCTGGGAATTAACTGGATTCAAACAGGAGGAGCATTTGATAGGAGCAGTGCGTTGCAGACCAAGTTCCTCAGAGATGAGATCCATTAGAGTGGATCATGCAACCTAATGATTGAAGTGAAGCTGGAAATAGTTTATCTTTAACCACACAAACAATTCATCCCTGTTACCACTTTCTGTGTAAATTCAGTTACACAAGAAGTAACTAGTGTAAACTGTGCAAATCCTCAGACCAGCATTTTTTCAAATGAGCTCCAGACTCAGTTTCATCAAGGTCACCTGCCCCCAGCATGCCTTGTCATATCCTTAGTGCTGGGGGTGCGATTTTCCACTTAACTGAGGCTCCTTTCCATATTTGTCACAAATGGCTACAAAAGCTAGGGTAACATGCTGTTACCAACATGTTGAGAAGCCATTTAACAATAAAACTTAATGGAGACAACCCTACAACCTCTTGTGTTGGCTGTTTTACCTCTAGTGAAAGAAGAGGGTACAGGAGAGAGCTAATGCTTACTAAGCATGTGTCTCTGCCAGACCTTGTGGTTGCACCAGAACTGAATTCACCATGCTGTCAGGATGACAGCAGTCGGTGTAGCTGCCATTCTCTGACACAGTCAGGGATTAAGAACAAGATCATAGACTGGCTGGGGTTGGAAGGGGCCGCTGGAGGCCCTCTGGTCCAAGCCCTCTGCTCAAGCAGAGCCACATAGAGCTGATTGCCTGGGACCAGCTGGCAGTTGAATATCTATGTCCAGATGGCTGTTGAATATCTCCATGGATGGAGTTTTCACAACCTTGCTGGGCAACCTGTGCCAGTGCTTGGTCACCCTCACAGTAAAAAAAACATTGTTTTCCCGATGTTCAGATGGAGCCTCTTGTCTTTCAGTTTGTGCTCACTGGCTCTGGTCCTGACACTGGGCACTGCTGGAAATAGCCTGTCTCTGTCCTCTTTGCACCCTCCCTTCAGGCATTTTATGTCTCTCTGGATGGCACCATGACCCTCTTGTGTATCAGTCACTCCTATTTTGGTGTCATCAGCAAACTTGCTGAGGGTACAGTCTGCTCCATCATCCAGGTCATTAAGGAAGGTATTGAACAAGACTGGACCCCTGGGGTACAGTGCTGGTTATGGGCCTCCGACTAGACTTTCTGCCCTCTGGGTCCAGCTGTTCAACCCTGGAGTATGAATTAGTGTGTTTTTACTGACTGTAGAGTTGAGATATGTATGCTTTCCCTCTCAGAGAATAAAGAGGTGGGGGCTAAGAAGCCCTCTTAAACATGTCTTGCATGCTTATCTTGTGTCAGCTCATGTTCAGAACAAATAGAAATCTAACAAACAGGTTTTACAGGTCTACTTGTCACCCTTTAAGAAGTTACCAGTTCCAACTTTCCCCTTCCAGCTTTCCTGATCCTCTCCAGGTTAATGTCCTCTGGCTAAAATACCTTTCCAAGAGACTGACTTGTGGATCTGTCTGAGAGGGGGTTTTAACTATCAGTTTTGTTTGCAGTGAGATGGAGTAGGGCTGCCCATAGTGCCCTCAGCTGAGGAGGCAGTAACTTCTTAAAATGTTCCAGTTTAAGATACAGACAGTTGGGCTGAGATATTATGCCTACACTAGGCCATCAGTTTGCTGTGGAAACAGGCAGGTTCATCTCATCCATGTCCTAGCCTTGCTAGCCTCCCCCATTGACTTGAATTGGACCTGGCACTTCTTGGAACCCATACTGCTCTGAAAAATATTGCTAATCATAGAATGGCCTGGGTTGGAAGGGACCTTGAAGATCATCTTGTTCCAACCTCTGCCGTGGGCAGGGACACCTTCCACTAGACCCGGTTGCTCAGAACTCCATCCAACCTGGCCTTGAACACTTCCAGGGATAGGGCATCCACAACCTCTCTTGGCAACCTGTTCCAGTGCCTCACCACCCTCACAGTAAAGCATTTTTTCCTAGTATCTAATCTAAAACCCACTCTCTTTCAGTTTGAGTCCATTCCTCTCTGTCCTGTCACTTGTAAATATCTCTCTCTGTTTTTCCTGAAAGTTCCCTTTAGGTACTGGAAGGCCACAACTAGGTCAGCAGAAAGATATTTGATCTGGTTTTATTTTTTCTGGATTAGTGTTCCGCTGGGTTAGCAAGCTGCATAAACTGGGTGCAGGATCTAACAAGCACCAGAGGCTGTGCCAGGCAGTGGAGGAGAACAGGATGCTCCGATTGTTGACATCAGCAGGTTGCTGGACTGGCTCAGTCATGACACATAATTTTCCAGCCTAAAACCATTTTTATTTTCACTGTTCTTCTCATTTTAGATTCTTTTAAACATTAGTCAGCATTTTATTTTATTAACAATATTGTTTGAAAATAATGAGCTCTGATCCTAGAGAGGCATACTGAATATTTTTTTCTGTTTGAAAAAAAAATTACTGTGTGACTAAGATCTCTGTGACACAGTGGTAGTTATTCCTTTATGTCACTGGGCAACTTAAATGGATAAAATGTTTGGGGGTTTTATCATTTGTTTGGTTATTGTTTGTGGGTTTTTTAAAGTCCGTTACAGTGGCATTAAATTTACATTTACAGTAAGACATGCATATTTTGGCTGAGGTAATTTATATAAAGGGGAAAAAAGTTACTAGAGATCAAAATAATTCTTCCCCCTCTGAATGGTTGGGGGTTTATTGCTGAAATAAAAGCGAATACTGTTTGAATTTAAAGACATGACAAATGAAAGGATGGGTACAGACTGATCTCATTTTGGGCTTGGCGATATTCAAACTCCAGATTGGTAAAATAAGTGTGGAAATCCCAAGCCAAGAGGATCCCACACCCTCATTTTAATCCCATCACTGCAGTAGTAGCAGTCTGCCAAGAGTGGCTGAGTTCTACTCCTCTAGGCAAGTGTATGATTCCCAGAGTGGTTGTTGGCCAAGCTGAAGTATTTTCTTTTCTTCCATTTTAACTTCTATGGGAGTTCAGTAAAAAGTTCAAGAAAACCCCAGGGTTTGTGGGCTTGTGAATAATCATACCCCTTCTTTTTGAACCAAGATTAAACTAAATCTCGTTAACCAGATTAGTCAATACTCAAAGTGTGGGCTGGTCAGGATTGTAAATAAGGTGACAGAATTAGATATTTGGTATGTCTGATGACAGAAATGGAACATTTATAGCAACAGAAAGCAGTCAACCATAACAAATATTGTTCTTGTAAACACTGCTGAGAGATTTAATTGTACTTTGCAGCTGGTAGTCAAGCATCACTTACTCTTTGACCAAAACTGCACTTTATAGAAGCATTGTTTGTTTTGTTCTATCCTGTGTCCTGACAAAGTGCCATATTACCTACTTGGAGCAATAAATTATTATCTCTCAAACATGACTACAAGCAGCAGGCTAATCTTGTTTTAACTTGCTCATAACCAATTTAAATCTTTCTATATGTGCTTTCAAGCAGATCAGGCTCCCTGTCATGGTACAAAGTGCCCACAGTGAAGCTGGAACTGCACTGCTGCTATGAGAAGGAGAATTATAGTTTCTGCATTTAGAAATATTGCACTACTGTAGGTCATGGAGGAGGTGTGTGAACTATCGATGGAGCATAACTACACAATTGGTGAAGAGGCTGAATTTCGAGACTGATTTCAAAGTACAGAATCCTAAGGAAGGAGAGTCCTGGTTTAGGTCACCTGTGCAAAGCTCTACAATTATGATTGATGCAATGAGAAGCCTACTTTGTGTAGGAAGTCAGTAGGACCTTGGCTCTTATGGTTTAATTTCTTCTGGGCATTATGCTGTTGGATAAAAAAACTGAAGAAATATCACTTTTAGGTTTGTTAAAAGGATGGACGCTAAGAAGCTTGAAAATAAAGATACATCAGGAAGAAACTTGCCTTAAGCATCATGGAGATGAGCTTTTACTGTCAGTAAAGAGGAGTATTCTGTTTAAGCTGGGATGTCTTCTGGTTTTGTTTTGATTTTTTTTTTTTTTCTTTTTGGTCATGAGTTCTGAGAATCAGTAAGTGTAACTGTTGGGGAAATGCCATCATTGCACTATTGAGCAATATTGGGCTAACAATAATTACAAGTATATAAAAAGCTGTGTTAATATTGTTTCATGAAGCCCTTAATGGCTTAGCTGCTGTCATTATTGGAAACAGTATTTTCTGTATTTTTTTCCTTAATGTTGCAAAAGTGGCTAGTGAAATCTGAATGTGATGGGTTCCATTTGTAATGAAGATAAAAGTTCATTGTAGTAAGAAATAACTCAATTGGTCTCCAAGCACAGAGTACTGGTCATGAATGTATAAAAATAGGGAAGAAGTAAAATATCTTCCTATTCTCAGTATGCAGATGTACTATAAAACTGAATACACTACAGTCAGAAAGACTTAAGATATGTACAGTGTTCTCAAATATGCATTGTAGACTTACCAAGCCAGCTTTAAACACATTTATGTAGACAGTAGTA